GAACACGATTACTATCAAGGGTGCTAACCTTGGAATTATATCGCTAATCTGGTAACAGTTCCTTCAAAAGATTATTGAAATTGGAGGAATTAGTTACAAATGTTACCAAGATTCAGTCCTCTAAAGCGCAGGAGAAATTATGATTTATCAGAACTTAGAGATGTTAATTTGCAAAGGACTAAGATGTTTCAAATAGGAACCAAGATTATTGAATTTTTTCCTTGTAAGAGTGCAATGAATTTAAAGAGAATTTTTTGAAGCCTAACGTCATCTCTAGATGTAATTTTACTTTTAAAGATAATTTCCCTTACCCAAAGATCAGCGAAGCCTTTATTCCTGGCTAAATTCTCTCTAGGAGCCATCTCAGGAGAGACTTGGAGTCCTGTAGTCAACAGAAAGCCTGTCTCCTTTTCTCCTAACTTCTTAGTGGGCCTAGAAAATGTCGAAGATACCATGTGATTATGGGAAACACTAATCAAAAGCACCCTCTCTCGATTTTCAGAATCTTAGGGATTAAACCAAACTCTAGCTAATTTTTTTTCTGCCTTTAAATTCTTCAAACATGCTATGCTCTTATTTTGCTATAGCTCTCTGCTGTGCATTTTCTTACATATGTTTTTTCTAATTTTTATATATTGGAAAAACTGCATAAAGGATAGTCTCTGTAGATAGTTACTAAACATTTATGGAGTATTATATCTTAAAGATCAGTTTTTAAAGCGCTTGACATTTTTCTTTCTTTTTCTTTCAAAAAAATTTAGTCATTGAAGGAAAATCTTGCAAGGTGTTGGACCGTTACTGAATCAGAGAAGATGTCCTTTGAAACTCAGAAAAAGAGCCTTGATACAGAAAATCAGTATTTAAGAGTATCACTGGAGAAGGAAGAAAAAGCTTTGTCTTCATTACAGGAAGAGTTAAGGAAACTAAGAGAACAAATTAGAATACTGGAAGATAAAGGAACAAGTACAGAGTTAGTTACAGAAAATCAGAAACTTAAGCAGCATTTGAAAGAAGAAAAGCAGAAAACACACAGCTTCCTTAATCAAAGGGAGACGCTATTGGCAGAAGCAAAGATGCTAAGGCGGGAACTGGAAAGGGAAAGACTAAAAACCATGGCTTTAAGGGTGGAACTTCAGCAGATAAGCTCTAGCAATCCAGACTCTCCCAAAGTATTAACTGAAAAAAAGGAAGTAGAAATCTTACGGGAAAGACTCAGTGAGCTGGAGCGGAAGCTAAACTTTGAACAGCAGCGTTCTGATTTGTGGGAAAGACTGTATGTCGAGGCAAAAGATCAAAATGCAAAACAAGAAACTGATGGAAAAAAGAAAGGGAGCAGAGGAAACCACAGGGCTAAAAATAAGTCAAAGGAAACATTTTTAGGTTCGGTTAAGGAAACATTTGATGCCATGAAGAATTCTACCAAGGAGTTTGTGAGGCATCATAAAGAAAAAATTAAGCAGGCTAAAGAAGCTGTGAAAGAAAATCTGAAAAAATTCTCAGATTCAGTTAAATCCACTTTCAGGCATTTCAAAGATACCACCAAGAATATCTTTGATGAAAAGGGCAATAAAAGATTTGGTGCTACAAAAGAAGGAGCAGCTAAAAAACCAACAGTTTTCAGTGAATATTTACATCCACAGTATAAGGCACGTACACAAAACCAGAATAGTAGAGGCTCTACTATGCAAAGAGAGCGAAGGAAAGAAAAGCCAATTCACTTTGAAGAATTTGGAAAAAATACAAATTCACAGAAATGCAGTGCTGAGCATGGCTGTAGTGAAAATTATAATTCCTTCAGAAAGGCTTGTTCTGGTGTATTTGAATGTGCTCAACAGGAATCCATTAACCTTTTTAATATGAAAGTGTTGAATCCTGTAAGGATAGATGAATTTAGACAATTAATTGAAAGGTACTTACTAGAAAAACTGGATAGTTTTCATCATTGGAAAGAACTTGATCAATTCGTCAATCAGTTTTTCGTACATGGTGTCTTTATACATGATCAGAAGCTCTTCACTGACTTTGTTAATGATGTTAAAGATTATCTTAACGACATGAAGGAATATCAAGTAGATAATGATGGAGTGTTTGAGAAGCTGGATGGATATATATATAGACACTTCTTTGGTCACACTTTTTCCCCTCCATATGGACCCAGGTCGGTTTATATAGCACCATGTTATTATAATAGTTTTTAACATTTGTAGATTGGATAGTATTTTATCATTTGATAAGTTTTTTGCAATGTTACTATTTGTAAAGTACTTTTTGTAAAAAAAAAAACCAAAGTTCTATTTGTAAAAGTACTTTATTGCCAGAAAATATAGAATAAATTGAAAGATATAATTTTAAGTTAATAGCTTATTACAGGCTGAAATTTTCATGTAATCAGTTTGACTTGAGCAAATGGTTTAATATCTACCTTAAAAAATCAGTTAAGGTTATATAAATCCTCTTTTAGCTTATTTTGTTTCTTTTTAGTCTGTATGAAAAGATAGTTAAGTGAAATTATTTTCCTTTAATCTTTCATTTATTTACTTTGGGAAGCTAGGAGTAAACAATACAAATTTCACTCTAAAATTAGAAGAGCTCATGTAAACAGTTGGGATGTCCCACATATTTTCATTTGTCTATTCCACTTACCAACTAAATTATGATGTTAGTATATTTATTACAAAATTATTGTTGATAAAGGGAGAGGCATGATCAAAGAGGCACACTTAGCAAGCCACAAGTTCTAATGTGTGTGCTTTATATGTCTCAAAATAACTTTGTATGCATTGCTTACAGCTTTATATTCTGTAACATGAAACTTGCCTAATCTTCAAATGTTAGCTTTTTTTTTACTTTTGAGGTAGTGATATACACACACACACGTACATATATATATCTTAATAAATGTAATGTGTCTATAAAATAATGAGACTGCTTCTGGTGTCTTTAGTCAACTGTATCTAGTGCTTATAATGAGCAAAGCACTGTGAAGCTGTCCTGAGGAAACAAATGAAAAATTCTTGCTGTCAAGGAGTTCACAAACTTTTATAGAGTTAGATAAAATTAATGAAATTGAGGTATGGAGGCATATTATACATAGTGGCCTCAGTCTGGAGATGTTTGGGAAGGTTTCATGTGTGGGGTGGCCTTTGAACTGAACTACTGTTTTTAAACTGGCTTTTGAAGGATATATGAATTTGTCAACCAGATAGGACATGCCACTCAAAGGGAACTTTGATTTGGAGCTGTGAAGACATGCTACTTTAAGGAGAAAATATGCAGATCTTAAGGACCTCGTTTTATGCTCAAGGACTTGCTTTATTGCACTTTAGGTCACTGGAGCAGCCTGGAGGATTGGTTGGAAAGGGTGAAGCTAGAAGCTGGAAGGTGGTCTTTAAAACATTACAGACATGAGCCTGATAAGCAGGAGTGGAAAGAGGGAGACAGTATTAAAATTGGTGATATTTCTTGTGAAAGAGAAGTGGAGATTAACATTGATTTTCAGATTTCTGGGTTGGGTCACTAGTTAGATATTGATACCTCTAAGATAAGGAATGCCAGGTTTGGGGTAATGGGAATTGAAAATGAGAACTGCGCTTGGAGGTACCTACTGAAATCCAAATGGAGAGGATTAGCTGGCCATTAGTTATTGTATGACTCTCTCTCTTTCCCAGACTATGTGTGTAGAGATAGTCTAGGCTGAGGTATTTATGAGACTTCTGGGGAACACCAATCTAAAGGGTTGTAGGAAAAGAAGTCTCAGAATGACAAGACCAGAAAGTAGCATAATGAAAATTTAAAGATCTCAAGGAAAAGGAATATATAGGTATGTCAAATGCTTTATATAAAGGACTGGATTTCTCGGCTGGCGAATTGGGTAGTCAGCCATAGGTGGTTTATGGACTGTTTCAAGTGAAGTAGTGACCAAATCCTGATGGCATCGTGGACTGTTTCAGTGAAGTTGTTACAGAAGTTTGATTATAGAGGTTGGGGAAAGCAGTAAATATAGAAATATAGACACTGTTCATGAACCTTAGCTGTCAGAAAGAAAAAGATTTTGTTTTCTTTGTAAGAGATGTATATACATATTTCTGCTGAGGGATGAAATCAATGGGAAGGGATTGGTTTTTAAAGAAAGGAAGGAAAATAATGGAAACACATCTCATTATTTTATTGTCACATTTCTGTTTTTATCTGTTGAGTGTTTCCTTTTTTGCTAATAGTTATGTTTGTCTATTTTTTTCTATAAGATAAAAGTATAATGCTCAATCTTTTTGGCATGGTTATACCAGGATTATACTTCAGATTAATTTAACATCCTTTTTTCAGAGTATTCAGATAATAGATTAATGGAAAAAAAACATTAAAATTGTTTCTTGTTTAAATAAATTCAACTCGAATAACATAGATGAAAAATGTGTTTACTGCTTTCAGTCGACCAGATAAAAAGCAACGTATGGTAAATATTGAAAACTCCAGGCATCGAAAACAAGAGCAGAAGCACCCTCAGCCACAACCTTATAAAAGGGAAGGTAAATGGCATAAATATGGTCGCACTAATGGAAGACACATGGCAAATCTCGAAATAGAGTTGGGGCAATTACCTTTTGATCCTAAATATTGACCGTCATGATTAAGTTAAAATAGAAAACTGTAACAAACATGGATGCTTTCTACAATGTTTGGTGTTGAAACTAAGATGAAATTATCAAGATAATGTCTTTTTATCATTTCTAAGATGACTTTACATTATTACTCAGAAGCATCAAGCAAAAGCTTACTAACCTGCATTTTCTTGTAGTTTAGCTTTGCTGAATATCTTTTTGCAGTGGAAATGTTGAACTGTAGTTTTGTTAAGGAAGCCAGGCATGCAACAGATTTGTGCATGAAATGAGACTTCCTTTCAGTGTATGAGCTTAAAGCAAGCTCAAATCATACATAACAAAGTGTAATTAACACTGATATTTGTGTTAAATTTGCAGTAGAGCTTGAGAAAAGTACATTGTGATGGAATTTCTTCTTTAACATTTTATAATCTTACTCTTGCTTCTTGTCTTTTTGTGGGTTCAAGAGCCCCGTTGACTTGTGAAGAATTTGCTGCCTTCTTATGCACTTGCTGACTTGTTCTCTTGTGAAATTTCTTGCACATCTGAATATTGTGGAAGAAACAATAAAACTACGTCATGAGGAAAACTAAAGGTCTATTTAAAATCTGGCAGTGTATTAATATGTGATTTTATACTTTGTGATATTTTTCATACATTTCCTCAGTAGTAATATTTGGTAAAGCAGTTCATAGTGGGGTTTTGCTAGTTCCATGAATCTTACCCAGTGTTTGCTAGCACATTTTAAGCAGCATCTGAATATTTCTACCCAGTAGTTTCTATATCTCTGGGAAAGATCTAAACACAGTTCAGACTTTCATCTTCTGTTGAGTTTCCCTTTTAATTTCCGTTCATAGACGTATATGTGACTTCCAGTTCGACCCTCTGGCAAGTGAGTGTGAAAGAAAACAGCGGTTCTCTCGTAGTTTCTTGAAATTAGGAAAGCACTTATTTCCTAGAAGTAAATAAATGTTTGAGTAAATAAAAGCTACATTTTGCTGAGTACTGTTTTAAGAATTTTAGAATGGCCTATTGTGATTTGCGGCTCTACAACTTTTAAAAAAATAAAAACAATGTCATTTCTTAAATTAACTCATGGTAAGTTACATATACATATGGAATTGGGGCTGATTTTGACTAGGGAAAAGTTACCAATTACAAAATATGGGGGATAAAAGGGACCATAAAAAAGTTAGATTGTCTATTTACCTGCTAAACCTAAGGTAAGATAAAATACTGTTTTCCCTTTTTTTCATGTTTCCTTACCTCCTCCAAAATGCTGAAGATGATCAAGTGAGTAGGTAATGTTGAATTGTTGTGAAACTCTTTATACAACCAGTTTAAGGGATTTAGATAAAATATATCTGCTTCATCAAGATACTGACTTTTTCCAGTCAGGTTTGGGGGACATTCAAGAAATCTCATTGGAAGTGGGTAGTGGACATGGCTATAAAAAGAAAGTTACCATTATAATTACAAGAAGTTGTGAAAGTTTTCAGATTACTCTTAAGATACATTATGTTAACATAACAAAATGTAAAATCTGAATCTAAACTGAGTTCCAACTAAGGTGAAGAAGCAAGCCTTTAATGCGGTTTCTCAAAGATGGAGAATATGATTTGATAGCATGTACCAGTGCAGGAGGAGCATAACCTATAAGTCCAAACTAAAGTATGAAACTCCATTTCAAGATGGGATGGTAGATCAAAGCTTGGGGGACCTAATATTCTCTAACACTGATATGGTCTTCCAGGAATGTAAGGGGCCTTTGAGACCAAGTAGGTTACTTGTTAACAAGAGAGTAATACCCCATAGGTTTATTAGGCAAAGTAGAAAACTGGACATGAACCAGAAAGGATTGTTGCTCTCTTCCCTTTCAGCTCTGAAAGGGGATGGATCACATCCTTCAATGATAAAGTTTGTGGTTTTTTGTTTTTTTGATTGTTCTTATATAAGTGAGAGTTAGTAATAAAGAGCAGCATATGTTCACTGATTAGCATCCAAATAAGTAATGGTTTTATTGTGGCATAGAAAGACTAGAGTATATATTAAAAAGATAGATTGATGAATTATGACAACACTAGTTGCATGGACCATACAGAAAGCCATGTTTATAACTTTGCCTCAGGAAAAATTAATAAAAATCAATATGTGAGAGGTGTATTTTATCTATGAAATGCACGTTTTCCAAAAGTGTTAAATTACCTTAAAAGGATGTCAACTTTGACATTAAGTTGACTATGCACATGAAATAGATTGTTTAAAGCCAGATTAAGCCAGATTTTAAAGAAAAGCTGTTTGCCCTTGTACCTTTCTTGGGCAATTGGTAACTAATATAGCTTCCTGAAATAATAAGCATAGGGCCAAATGGATAGATACCCAGCATAGTTAAGGCAATTTTAGTGTTACATTCTCAGAAACACTTAATTCAAGCATTAGGGTATTATCTAACTGAATTCCCTAATTTTTTTTGGCTATACAACTGATATCTAAAGAGATTAAAAAGACTCATTTAAGATCAGGGCAATAGCCCAGTAGTAAATCTGGACTAGAAGCTAGTGTTTTGAGATTAATTCAATATTGTATACACATAAGGTATTTGTCACAAAGATTTGTAGTGAGATCAATGATAATTTCTTTACTAAGAAATTATCAAATAATCTATAAAATATACTATATTTAAATCAGGTAATTTAAATATAAATTTTAAAAAAGATCGAAGTTAAAAGTATATGATTTTCATTGACAACATAGTTCAAATGGTTTGTAAAATTCAGCAATGAATAAATGTGGAGTTTTAAATTTCTTTTAATCATTTGATCAATGATCAATTTAAATTCAGGAATCTGAAAGGAATTTTAAAGTAGCTTCATTTTCTTAATAAATAGCAGATAGTGGAACAACTTTTATTACCTATAAAAAGGAGTAGAGTGGCAAGGCATCATTACAAACACCGAAGCTGCAGATTTATTAGGATTTTTGTAACAGAGTTCTTGAATATGAGTCATGACATCAAGAGTACCTCGTTGATGAACTAAACCAGTATAGAGAGCGAGAAGCATATTTGATAAAAACAAGAAACTTAGAGCTGGTTTCTTCCATGTTTTCAGGTGGTTTAGTGAATACCCTGTATGAAGATAGACATGAAAATAACTTCATCTATTCTAAGACATCTGATAACATACAATTGACAGTTAAAAGCAAATTTGGGCAAGAAATCTTAGATGCTCAATTTTGTTCCTGTATGAATATTTTAGATAACATTATGTACAGTGCATTCCATTCAGTAGTTGGAATATCACACAGTCATTTCACATAGTGCCACTAAAAACAGCTGATTAACCAAAGAATATTATGAAAAGTGTGATAAAAAATGTAGCTAGATCAAGAAAACCAAGCTTATGTTTAAAACTTAAATCTAAATTTGTAAGATGTTGGAAATGGTAAAATGAAGAACCTGCTGAAGAGGATGAAAACTAGAATTAGCTTTATCAGAAACTGAAATAGGATTGCAGAAGTTCTGCTATCTAATAATTCCAGCCACAGATAAAACACAGCAGCAAATACAACTTGAAAGTGAAGTGCTTCTCTGGGTTGACAGGCAAAAACTGTATCTACTTAGTGGGCTCAAATTACAAAATGCTTCAGTAGTCTACTCCAACAAGGCCCCAGAAGGGGGAATATTCAAGTTTACCATGGGCCTCTAAAGTGGTTCACTCATTAACAGTTTGTTCATTCACTAGATGTTAAAGTTTTACCAGAAACTTAACAGCACTACAGACAGATACAATGGTAGAGGTGACTAATACAAAACTGGAATACATGGTGGCGAATGTAAAAATGGCATTCTGGCGGAAATGCTGGAAGAAAATGTGCTTGTCTTCCTAGCTTCTTTAGTACTGAGGGGAGTCTTTTAAGTTAGGTAATGCTTATATTATTTTGTGGTGATTTTCACTTTGAAACTAGCTCATTTTAGGATGGGTCCTTTTAGTGAAAAATGAATCTCTGTATTATTTGGAGAAATAATAAAATGTTGGGAAGAGAAGAGACGAACAGCCTTGAATTTGAAGACTGAAGGTTTTCAAACCATCTGACCTTGAAAAGTTTCCCAAGGGGATTTCAGAAATTGGTGTTGCTAAAGGGAGAATTGTAAAGATACAGATTGAATGTTAGACTGAACCACAAGAGAAGCCCAGAATCCATGGGTTTCTTATAGAGAAACAGTATGGTTTCTTTACTATTTAAAAGAGATAATTAAGATTCTAATAGCTGCCATTCAGTAAGTCTGCTTAATTGTGCATACAAATAAAGAGATGTAATTCTCACTAAATGGATCTACCCTAAAATGAGCTAGCTTCACAAGGTGATAGAGTCACCACCAGGTAATGTATTACCTAATTCAAAATGTGAAACCCCCCTCACAATTACTGAACATTCTAGGAACACAAGTTTTCTAAATGTCCTATAAAACCACTTACAGAAATCTTTGTCTCATGTAGTTTCCATGACAACAAAGACTGAGTACGAACCCTGGTGACTACCTGTCAGAATATAGTCCCCTTCATTTCACATAGTAGCTCTTGATAACTCAATGCTAAGTAACATCCCAGAATATTGAATTTGCTCCTGTTATCTGGGCCTACAAAAAGATATTTAAAGTGGGAATACAGAAAATCTCTGGAGGAATTTATAAGTGTGATAATTATCACTGGGGAATGGGACTAGATGATTAGAGGATGACACTGATGGTGGTTTATTATTATTTTTTGTACCATGAGTATTTACTTTTATAATATACTAGGTTCTTACCAAATCACTCTCATCAGACCTACTGTTAAAAAATGTTTTAAATCCTTTCTGTCCTAATTAACTACTCTCCCAGGTAAAGTCTTAAAAATGAGTATATAAGAAGGCCCCTCATGAGTTAGTTTCTTTTACTCAGCCATATCTCCTAATTGTCATATATGATTTATCTTGATACACACAATCACTTTTAAAGTTTTGGATAGTGTGTTGTTCTGTATTCTTTAGCAATGACTGATGAGTTTCTTCTTACCCAAAGGTTCACTGTAACAAAGAGGATGAGAATTGAGGTTGAAAACACAATCACTTTTAAAGTTTTGGATAGTGTGTTGTTCTGTATTCTTTAGCAATGACTGATGAGTTTCTTCTTACCCAAAGGTTCACTGTAACAAAGAGGATGAGAATTGAGGGCCGTACATAACTGATCCTGTCAAACACTGAGAGGTAGCAAGGATGCATCCTAGTTTGGGCAAGAAATATTAAAACCAATGTTAAGAAAAAAATCTCTCCCAAGTTCTATGAATTAGAGATATTTCTAAGTTAACATTTTCACTTTTAAATATTCCTTGAGAAAACTGTTAGGTCAACTTGATTCCGGTGTTTACATGAGAAAAACAAAGGGTGGTTTAATTCTGGAATGGAATGTTCAGGAGAGTGGGCCTGGGGAAGAACCATGTGAGAGTATTGGGAACAGAAGGAGGTAGCAAGAATTTTATATTGCTACTTTGCTAAGGAAATAAGCTATAATTTCATCTTCCATAGTGAGAAGTCGATAATACCAAAACCAAAGATCTTTATGCAATATTAGCATTTTATTTAGAGATAAATATCAAAATAACCACCTAAAAGTATGATTGCCTCTGGGAGTGGGGCGGGGGAGAACCGTTTTTTTAAAACAAACTCCTTATGAATGACTTCTGAAACAATGTACATGTGCAATTTTGATGAAAAGATTAGCATATAGAAAAATAAAGTGGCCTAATCGAGACAAGCAAGTCTGCATTGGCCACTGTGGCAAAAACATTCAACAGAAACTCAACCCAGAACTGATAGCAAGTGCTGTAAACATACCAGCACAAATCACAGGTTCAACCTAAGAATTTCAGTGTTACTAGACCAATGGCACCTTTCTTTTACAGATAAGGAAACTGAGGCACAAGGTTATACAGTTCACTAAGGATCAGAGCCAATCACAGAAGGTATGTTTTCTAGAATTAAGTTCTACTTTTGGATAGGACTGAGGGAAATTCAAACTAGGCAAGAAAAGTTGCCACAGATTAAAAAAATGGCCACAATTACTCCTCTTCCTATATTCAGTCCCTACATGAGCCTGAAGTTTATTTCTCATCTCTTGAATCTGGCCTGGCTTTGTGACTTGCTTTGACCAAAAGAATGGTGCAAGTGACAGTGTGCCAGTTCCATGCTTGGGCCTCACTACTGTTTCTTCTCCTGGAACCCTGCCTATACCCATTGAACAAGCCCAGCTAGCCTGCTGGAGAATGAGAGCACATAGAAGAACTGAGGAACCTTAGCTTATAGCCAGCTGAACCCCAAATGTGAGAAACCAGCCTCGGTCAAAAGAGCTGTGTACCCCATCTGCAGCTGATCACGTGTATAAACTCGGTAGAGACGAGAACTGCCCAGCTCAACTATAGACATGTAAGTAATAATAAGTATAATAAGTAGAGTTTTAAGTGACTAAATTTTGAGATGGTTTGTTACACAGGAGTTGCCAATAAAGTTGTCATGTTTATATAAAATCAGGCCAAAATAGATCATGCAAGAATAGAATAAAACTGACATTTGAAGTATAATATAACTCAAGATTTCAGGTAGTTAGAAAAGGCTCAAACTGGATTATTTAAAATATCAAGAACTCCAAAAAGAACTGTTATCTGACATCATTCCTGACTTCTGTCCAGGTGAGCTCACTACTTAATTGTCCTACTGTTGGAAACTGTTGGCATTAAAGAGTTCTGACTCCTAAGAATCAAAATCTTTTGGTTCACTCAAAAACCTTGGGTATATGTGTCCAGAGGGAAAGATCACATCCTGTGAGAAGGTCACGGGTTTTGGTGGGTCTCTGTCCTTTAGGGGTCATTCTGAGTGGAAGCAGGATGGAGAAAGGCTGGTTCTTGTCCATTACAAAAGGAGCTCTTCAACTCTCCTCATCATTTTATCTAAATCTTTAGGACTGGGAACAAGGGATTACTGGGACCCTAACAATTAAAGATGCCATCTTTTGGACTGGGCATGAGGTGCAGAAAACTCAGTTTTTCCTTAAAACACTTTGTAAAGACACCCATAGAAGTGGAATGCTGGAAAAACCCAGAGTATAAAAATGGAATCAAAACAACTTCCTAAATTAACCAAACCAAATACACATGTATTTGTCTTCTAGTAGTCTGGCAATGTTCACCTGGGCAGAAACCAAACTTGATTTAATTATAACTCAAGCTGTCATAAAAAAGAAAAAGTTAAAATATGCATAGTGACTCATTTTATAAAATATGAATAAATGTGCTCTGGTAAATGGGCCCACTATTCTTAAGACTTGCAAATAGATGCCTATATTTTTATATGTGTCTGCATTCGTGTATAAAGTAATGACATAAATTAACACCGGTTTCAGCACTTAAGATGTATAAATATATAGCTGTGTATGTTTGTACCTAAATTAAAGAGAGTACGTCTGAGATCTGTAGGACATAATGTAATCTTGGTCAAGAAGGCTGCTTAACTGGTTTTTTTTGAGTTCTTTTTTTAAGTAAAAAGTGTGATACTATTAACTCCTTAGCTTTTCCCTGTTTCTAGTCCCATTGATTTCTTCTCTCTCCAGTCCAATGACTTTTTTTAGTGATTAATATTTGAAGGAGACCAAAAGTCACTTATTCTGAATTAAACCTGAAGTTAATAAAGTTTCAATTCATGATTTTTCCAAACCAAACAATGTAAAAATTCATATTTTCCAGAGCTGAGTAACATAAAACTTGAGAAGTCACATGTAAAAAAATTATTGCCAAGACTTACAGGAAATAATGGAGAAAAGGCCAAAAATAAAATCAGGTGTGAATCACTTTAAAAACTGCATATGCATTAGAGTGAGTCTTAAAGCATTAAAAGCATTGAAAACTCAGTTTCAGCAGCTATAAACATATTTTCATTTGTGGAATGAAGAACTTCCTAGTTTAACCATAAAGTAGCTATTCTAAAAAAGATATTCCATTACTTTTTAGTGAAAGATTTCTAATAGCTAGAAACACCACCACCAAAAGGTGCTTTGGATATTGGATCTTTATGATTTTATCTCACTTTACAGAACGTAGGAAAAAGGATATTTAGGCTGCAAAAAAGAGAATACTGCAGTAACATAATTATTTTGTAATTAAGAAGCAATTCTCTTTCAGCCTAGTTGAAAATATTTTAGAGTTTAATGAGTTTATTGTCTTCTATTTCTATATATTTTTTCTATTGAATAAAAATACTTACCACAAAACACCATACAAAATGGTAAAACTGAATAGATAAACCTGAATTCTTTGTGGCCCAACATGCTATAATAAAACAAAGATATAAAAAAATATTATTTTTACATATTATATGATAGTTTGAGATTAGTGTCTTTAAAATGAAATAATTAACATGACCTGTTTTTCTGAGTACTGAGACTGACTTTCATGCTTTAGGAATTAGGCGATGATGTGTTAAAAGTAATTCTAATATTTGATATCAATGTCTAATGTCAATATTCTAAAAAATGGATTCCTATTACCAAAACAAGTCATATTACTCAAATTTGGAATAAAGATGCATATATTTTCATTTAAAAATATTTCTCTGGTTCTTCAATACTTAAAATTTTGGTAATCTCTGTTTTTTAGGCGCAAATGAAACTTGTTCAACTTCTTAAAAATTGAATGTAATCCTTGTTAAGGTAACTATACATATCAGAAGTATTCATTCTACCTAAGCATCAGCATAATTACTGCCTCTCTGTTGCTAAATAATCTTCATTAACAAATCACAAAAAAGTTACTGCATCTCCAAAAGATATTTACTTTTTGAATAATTTCTTGGTTAAATTATGAAAGTTAACTATTTAAATAAATAAAATCTTACCTATATACTAGCAGTGTCCACAGCACAGTCACCAAAAGTATCCGGTACCTCTTTGGGGCTAGAAAGCAGCCATGAATGAAGAAGGGTAAGTGAGTACCTAGGACAACTGGAAATCCTTGACTGAAGTACCAGTGCCATGGATGAGAACCATAAAATGTTCCCAAATTCTGCAGCACGTTAAATCTCAAAAAATTATATTGAACCAGAGTCCACTGGCATAGTTGAAGGAAAGAGAAATAGAAACGTATTAGTGTCAAGTGTGAATCTTTGGCATTAATGAATTTGACATTGAATTATGAATAACGTCTAAAACCCAGATAAAAGTTTACATTGATAATTTTGAACAGTGACCATATGAAATCATTATTTTTTGTGTTCTAAGTATTGTTAATTTGTAAAACACTAGGTTTTTGAGATTTAAGAAAGTATAAATAAATGTTTATATTTTGACAATGTAAGTTTTACATACAATTAGAGCTATAGAGAATCCTAAAAAAATTTTTATGACAGTGTGTGTGTTATAACCACATCAAAATTTTTACTGCAGTACCTTATATCACACATTACTTATTAAGATAAAGCTCTGAAAACATTACAGGTGCAATTATGGCACAAAGCAGATAATAATTAATAGCAACAACAGCTAACATTAAGTGCTCACTTGTGCCAGGCACCATTGTAGGCACTTTACATGCATTATCTCATTTAATCCAACCTTGTGAGACATGTACCATAATCATTTCCAGAAAAAGAAACTGGCAAGAAAGGTACATAACTTGTCCTGGGTCACACAGGTAACAGGGCACTAAGCTTCATGCTGTGGCAGTCTGATTCCAGAGCCCATAAGTAACTTAAAAACAGAGAACTTAAAAACAACTAACAGTCATAAGTTTAAAATGTCACACCAGTGCTTGAAGAATAGAGTATTCTGGTTAATTTGAATTCTGAATGATTACCTTGAAGTCAATTAAAATTATTAAAAAATCTAACCTCTATTGCTACAAACCTTATAAAAATGCCTGGACTCGAACTTCAACTAGGAATACTCAATTTTGTTATCTAATAGAAAGCACAGCAAATTGAACCAAAGGCATATGCTAGTAGTTTTTTTTAATGTATCCCATATTATTAAAAAAATGATTTGCCTACATTCTCAAATATTCATGGACTGATTAAAAAGTCAGATTGAGTTTTTAGTGTAATAAATATTTTACCTACTTGCCCAAAAAACATACGATCAATTATCAGAGACCAACTCAAAGTGACAAATCTGAAAAATGAAAAGAAGGGTGATTAACATTCTGAACTTACTGAAAATCCAATATTGGCATATGGCTTTGCAAGTGCCTTGCATCAAAAGCCATTCTAAAATGCTTTAGTGTTACCTACTGAATATGGATTTACACATTTTGAAGTCTTTCATGACAGGAGCTGCATTTAAGGAAATTTAAAAAGTAATAAACACTGCGTTGTCTATTTCTGCATTACAAATTACCCCAAAACTTGGCAACTTACAACTATGAACATTTTTTATCTCTCAGTTTCTGTGGGTCAAGAATCCAGGTGCAGCTTAGCGGGGTGTCTCTGGTTCAAGGTCTCTCACGAATTGTCAAGATGTTGGCTGAAGGCTTGATTGGGGATGTTGGGGATATTTGCTTCTAAGCTCACTCACATGATTGTTGGCAGGGCTCAGCCTCCCACATGTAACCCTCTCCTTTAAGACTAAGTCATGATATGGCAACTGGCTTCCCCTGGCTTGAGCCATCTGAGAGTGAGACAGGAACCCAAGGTAAAAGTCTTTATACCCAATCATGGATGTGACATCCTTTCTGCCATATTTGTTAGAATTGAGTCAAAATGTCCAGCCCACACTCAAGAGGATTATACAAGAGCATGTATATCAAGAGAATGGGATTAGTGGGGGCCATCTCAGGCGGCATATCAAAAACATATACAGAAAAGTACACTATAAGTCTTCATGAATCATCACAATATGAAAACAAACTGTAACTCATACAGATCAGGAAACAGAGCATTATTAGTACTTCAAAAGGCCCCCTCATCCCTCCAACCAATCTCCACTCTCTTCCCAAAGGTGACCAGTAACTATTCTGACTTTTGATAGGGTAGATGTTTTACTTTTTGAATTTTACAAAAATAGAATCATGCTATATGTACTCATGTCTAGTTTCCTACAATCATGAGATTTAACCATGTTTTTTGCATATTGCAGTACATTAATTTATAATACTGTATAATATTCACTGAATTTATATGCCACAGTGTATTTATTCTGTTAGACACTGTGCTTCCCTTTTTTTTTTTTTAGCTATTATCAACACTGTTATGATCATTCTTTGACTCGCCTTCTGATTCCCATATATGTACATTTCTGTTGAATACATACTTAGTATTGAAAGTAACTGAGCACTAGGGTATAGTGCGATTAGCTTTAGTAAATACTTAGTTTTTCAAAGAGGTTGTATCAATTTATATTCCCACAGGAATACATAAGTGTTCTATATCCTTTTAAGCCATTTGGGTAGATGGACTGTAGCACTACTTACCCTACAGGTAAAAAATGATGTAGAATAAGATCAAGCTTTCTCTGTTCTTGCCAGATATGTCTTAAGAGCAAAGGTATCCATGGAATGATAGCTGTGGGACGAATTATGAAGGCAAGTGCCACCAGGGATGAGTACTTGATACTAAAACAAGGAAAATATATTGTCAAGACAACTAAGAAATGAGTTTAGAAGTTATCTACTATTTACACTGTGCTATAACTTTTTTTTGTTAGAGCATTTTCTTTTTGGTATAAATAGCTGTGTGAAGTTGGGAAAGTTACTTATACTTTCTCGCTCTTAGTTTTTCTCATCTGTAAAACGAAGTATTATCTAAGGTCTTTTCCAGCTCTAATATCTTACTTCTAGTACTTTCAAATAAGCAGTTATTTTTTGTTTTAATGTTTGTCTTGTTTGTTGAAAGGTATACTAACTTTTAACCACAGAACTTTCCTGATAGAAAAATGATCAAGTCACTCACAAGGCTATAAGAGAAAGTCCATAAAACCATTCTCTAGCAAAGAAACCAAGTGCATTTAAATAAACATTAGGATTATTTAGGCTATCATAGGCTTCTGAGTCCATATGAATTTGTTTTGAAAAGGTAAGCTGCTAAATTTATCCAACTGAAAGATGTATATGTACAACTGATAAAAAGCCTACTATACAAACCTATATGATCATGGATAGAATTGTGGACTTTTACTATTAGGATTTCTCTCAATAAATGGCTACAGGAGATTATGCAATAGTTTAATCATGGAGACTGCAGACAGGAGATTATTACCTGGATATATACTTAACCCTGTGAAAAACTAAAAGCTAGCAAAATAAAACAACTTTATGGCACCATTATATATCTATTAACTAATAATTATGAAGACTTTCTAATGGTGAGGATGTAAGAGCAAGGATTTCAAATTTAAATGCTTATAGAGATCACGTAATACAAATGAATGATGTAGTCCACATAAGGGCTTTAATGTTATCATGAAGGAATCTTGACCCAAAATGTTAGGACTTCTGTTTTTTCAAGAGAAACCAGAAATCCAGATGTTATGTAAGATCTCCTAATTTTAAAACTTTGCCAAGTAGTTTACTAAAAAACAAAAACACTGTGCAGGTGAAATAAAACATATTTGTGGCTTGCTCTGACTTGCAGACCATCTAAATTGCAACTTCTGCTCTAGTGAAACTCCCTAGAGGATGCCTAAATGTGTATTTCTTAACCTCACTCCAAATTTTCAGACTTCGACTTCTTCTCATTCCTGAATATTGTCTACATTCATCTCTTACTGGCACTCAAAGTGTCTCAAATAAGCCCCACAACTTTCCCTCAAACTTATTCAGTGTTTAGTATGTAAGTTAACAGTATCACTGTTTCTGAGTCTTAAAATTTTAGAGTCACCTTAAATAACAACTTCTCATCCCATACTTTTTTTTTTGTTCCTTTCTCATTCCCACTACCATCATTTTACATCAAGTCCTGTCACTTGTTTGGAATCTTTTCGTAGTCATCATAGTCTTTGCATTCCTTGGCCACCCAATCCATTCCCTAGCACATCATCCTATTTTACATTTAGGAATCTTTTGAGTCATCATAATCTTTTTTTTTTTTTTTTTTTGTATTACTCAGAAATATTCTTTAACAACATTGTCATCATCAGTATTTCCTAAGCACTTTGTAATGGGGTTCTGTGCTATACAATTCACATAGATTCTCATTTAATTCTTATGAGAGTTGTTATTCTCATTTTACAGATATAAATGTTTAGATATCCTCATGCCAATTTAAAAATCTTTCATTATATGTGCATTTTTAAAGGAGTTTGCAAAATGTCATTTATCGTCAGGCCAAGAATAGTACCTGTCATGTGAAGAATGCTTATACAGTGGTCATTTGTCCCACATAACCTTTCCTGATGGAATCAGGGGACAGCATCTGAGCTGAGGCAGCTCATCTAAGGCTGGCCAGTGTGAAGGCTCCATCCAAATAGGGACAATGATATTTAACAGACCTAATCATATTCCTTCAAAGTAAATGTGAGATACAGGGAAAATTGGGCAATTGGTAGTGAGAACAGAAGTGGACAGAGCCTGAGAAAGCCTCAAAATGGTGGATAAAACAGAGATTCATAGACTGGCCTATAAAAGTACTACGGAACAACAGGCCATTCCTCAAAACTACCTTACATTCTGCATAACCTTCCAATTCAGTTGTGTGGCTGAGATACTCTATAATTTTAATCTAGGCCTGGCCATAAGGCTAAGATGCCGATCTTCCTTATTTTCACTTTGTCTTAAATAAAGTCCTCCTCATATAGGTAATCTAATTGAATGCCTATTTTTGCAGTCAAGAGTCTAATGCAGAAATGATCTTATTTCATCCAACCACTTTTTTATATAGGAAGAATGGTCGCTAGCTTCTTAACTAGACTCAAATTCTGGCTTTCTCCCTTTCATTATATCCTAAATACTGATTTTACAAGAGAATTCTTCCTGAATCAGATCTGATTATGTCATGCCTCTCAAAAGCCTACAATGGTTCCCTACAACTTGTAGAATAAAGATCAAATTCCAGACAAGGGCAAAGTCCCATTCCAGCCTCATCCTTATTCTTTTCTTCTCCCATACATCCTACCATACATTTAGCTACTCTGGACAACCTCCCCAAAATACAGTGAAGCTCTTTTACAGTGTTGTGCCTTTGCTCATGTTCCCTTTGCTCGGTATTTGCTTCCCAGTTTATATATACCCAAATCAGGTCGATATGTTTTCTATCTGCTCTTCTGGATCTGATCTCTCCACTCCACCTGCTCAATGTACAGGGAGGCTGACCTGTATGGGCTATATCAATGGGTTATCTTGCTTTCTGGCTGCTGATTGACTTTGGCTAACAGGAGCACAGTAGAGTCAAACTGGGCTCTTGCTCTGGCTGAAGGCTGGTTGTGCCTGTCTCCTGTTGGGGCCCTCTCTTAAAGTTACAGCTCTGCATGAATTCCAGTAACCATTTTCTCTCCTTGCTCCTTGGGGCCATGGTGTAATAGAAACTTCCTGCTGTGGGTATTCCTGGGGCACTATGGTGCCCCCTTATTGGTTTTTCTAAACATTGTCTACACCTTTGTAAATAGGCATTTTATTACCTTTTCCTTAATTTAATTACCCACTTTTAGTATATCTGTTTCATGCTATAATAAATATATCAACTGAAAATCTGTGGTTCTAATAACCTTCATAAACATGAGGGGTCCACTAGACATTACAATATGTTGATATTTAAGATTTTTCAAAAGCATGCTTTAGAGTTTTGTATATTAACAGTAATACATCTCACCTGTTCATAGACTTTGAACCTTCCAAAGGATAGTAGAAAAGAGCAAGTATAGTGAGAACAGTTTCCATGGTGTTTGTAAGAGTTCTGGTACAGCAATACCATGTGAACCAAGAGCATAGCTGGCAAAAAAACTAAGAACAATTATGAGCAAACAGAGATGGGGTGGGAAATGAAAAAGCTTAGTTATCTTCTATGGAAAATAGTAAGCAAGTCTAAATACTGGAAAAACCACATCAAAAGGTAATTAATGTTAAAAGATGGCATGTGCAGACATTGTTTTTAAGAATTTATATCAAACACAGGTCTAAGATAACATCAGATCTATATTCATTAAAGTTAAAAAGTATACTTTCAGGTACATTTTTATGGCATTTCATTTTATTTAAATCTCATTTCTCATTAATAAAAGACATAAAACACACATTCTTTGATGTAGTTTATAGAGGATTGAAATTCATAACTAGGCCCTCCCAATCAATATTCCTCAAATTGTCTTATATTACTGACAAATATTCTGACTGTTTTTATTGACCTTAGTTTAAAATGTTGCCCTATATCTTGATGAAAAATTAAAATGCAAGTGAAAAAACATGACATATCAGGAGACATCATTAAATTTTAATTTGGAAATTGACTAAATTAATAAACCAGTTTTGAAAGAATATGCAAACAGAAGCATCAATAAGTCTACAGAAGAAATATCTTAGAAGAAACCTGTTAGCTGAGGCGAGGGTGTTAAACGTGTACTTGCTTCCTATCTCTTCAAATATAGCCTTTAAAAATTGTTTCCAATTTTTGTGGGTTTAAAGGCTTTTCCTAAACTAGAAGAACCTAGTGCTGCTACTTTGAAGGAGGGAATTCAAAGGTATTATGCCTTTGCCATTTTAGATTGAGCCTTCGGCAGTATATATAAGCAGAAAATAAGACTGTTTTATCCTTGAGTCAATTAGCAAGGACTCATTTGCTAAACCAATCTGCCTTTTTAATACAAATCAACATGCTACCTGCAGAAATATGTCCTGTTAATCTTTAAATTGTTAATATTTATTAATAATTATAATTACATCTAGAAATGTGTTGGTAATTTGGAACATATTTTCAAATAGAAACAATGTAAAAAGCGTAGTAAGATTTCAAAGGTGGCTCAAATAAGCTTTCTTAATTTAAGAAAGAGCCAAAGTGAAGTAACAACAGTACTACAACCATTCTTTGGGATATGGTTTAAATGGGAAAATCCATTCCAGATTTGAATGGGAGATCAGAAATCTATCTCTCCACTGTGAAATAAGCCAAATGACAAAAGACAGTCTTCTACGCCACATTCTCTCCCTTACAGAGTCCAACTATTTCAAACATTCAAACCAGAGGTGAAAGGGTGCTCCAGTGAGAAGCAGTATTTCTCAGGATGAGTCTCAAGTAGCTGGAAGAATAGAGAACAGCATTGAAAACAGCTGAGGTGATTTGTGATGTAGGCAATGATTTAGAACTATTCCTACTGAATTTTATGGAAAGTTAGGCAAGGACTCTGACAGTTTTGAGGTGTGAAGATACTTGCAAAGCCTGTCTCCTAGGGTTAAGCTCATAGGGTTTGATGGCATCAGTGGCTTCTACTGCTTAGGACTCAGTCTGGAGGAAAGGTATGGATGGTATGCATCATTTGCATCTTACTGTTTTTAATTATGGAAGTACTTCTATAAAGTTGTATGAGTTGTTTTTTGAAACTTTTGATTATCGATATTCCTTGTGCTTCATGCTCATAGGAATGAAGTAAATTAAATATAGTTTCTAAAGTGTTTAAGACTTACCACCCATTTTGCCACTTGCTGATTTTCTAGTTGTTTCATTAATGAGTAAAGCCTCAAGTCTGCTACAACAGACAGAACTGCTTGGGCAAGTCTAGGAATCCAAATCTTTGTTTAAAAAAAAAAAAAGATGTTAAAACCATCTGTTGGTTCACACTGAATTATAAGAAATTAACAAGCTGACCCAACTATCAATTAATTGAAAGCCATTCTTAGTACAAAAATAGATATAATATATTCTATTATTCTGCTAAAATACCTGTATTTCTACAAAAAATACATTAATTTTTTAATGTATAGTTAATTAAGAGATAGTTTTATAATTCTCATTATATATACATATTATAATTATATATTATATAACCAGGTCATGAGTGGGCATATATGTATTTAGTCTTCATAAGTACATATATTATATATATATATACACACACATATATATTACATATTACAACACTCCTAATTCTAATTTAAAGGCCAGCAAACCATTTCATTGTGTTAAGGGTTTATTTTAGAAGCACATTTAGTTATTTTGATTAGCATAACAATAGGTAATTTAAAATGAAACCTTATAGTACTGTGTCCTAGGTATTATACTAAGTACATACTTGATATCAGTTCATTCAGTCCTCCAAATAATCTTATGAAATAGGTACTGTTTTATAAATGAGGAGCCTGAAGCACAGAAAACTTAAGTCATTTTCCTAATGCACAGCTAGTTGTGTGGAAACAGGATTCAAACCCAGGTCTGCCTAACTCCAAAGCCTGTGCTAAGTTTCACTACTTTCCCATCCTGCAATATAGATGATAAAATACAAGTTACTTTTTTTTTTAAAGCCCAAGTATTCTACAGTTATCGAAACGTATTCAGATGAGTAAACTTATTTAAGAGTAAACTTAAAAGAAATGAAAGAGTAAGTAGTATATTACAACTTAATTACAGTTAGGAATTCTAACGCTATATATTAGCATCTTTCCGGGTTTTTTTAAATATGTCATAGTTATCTTTTAACAAAATAACACTTGCTTGTAGAATACAATTTCATGTTGGTTTGTTCAAAAGATGTGTTTCTAAAAACATGTAAATTTATATTTTTGTTGAGTCAAACTTAAAGCTGCTTAACTTTCGATTTTCAATTGTCAGTGGCCTCTAACACTTTAGCTTTATGTTCCATTTCTTTGTTAATAATCTGTAAATATTTAAATCTTAGAATTTAAGGAATGCTATACTTCATAATTTCAATTAAACTGTGCTCTGTAAAATGCAGTAAAGGGCACCTATTACATACCTTCTGTTTACTCTGCATAGAGATCTATAAACTTCATCCTTACCTCCCAGGCCTGAAAGTAGTTCATTTGAAAACCCAATTTGGCTACATATTTAATATAAGCCAACAGTATGAGGTAGCTACTAAAAAACTAAATCCTTGTGTACTGAGAGAAGCATAGTATTAATGAAGTTAATGGTCCCACTATACTATTCTGAACTAGTTACCCTAGCTTTCAATATTATGTTCAGTTTGGAGACCCACATGTTAAGATGGATATTAATAAATTATGTCTAGAGCACACATTATCTGATTATGAAGTTTAGAACTGGAGATGTTTGTCCTGGATAAATAAAACTTTTTGAAGGGTTGTCATGTAGAAATACTGAATTTAAAAGGTAGATTGTAGCCCAACACAGAAATAAGTGGAGTTGTAAATTCCCAGTTATTAGCAATGTCTAAGATAACCATCATTTTCCAGCTCATACTAAGGATTTGACAAGAATTAAGTAATAGTTTCACACAGTTTCTGGAAAATAAAAAGTAGTGAGGTAGGGAAAAGAAGGAACATGCCAGGGTTAAACTCTAAGGATAAAGCCTATGTTGGCAGCTTACCATTCTATTCTCCTGTTCTTTAAGGCCCTCACTCCTTCCTTAGGCTCCAGGAGCCAAATGTCCCTGTGCCATCTTCTGACTATTCAAAGCCCCACTGTGGTACCCCATTCATGTCTCCTTTCTTATCCCTCTTTCTGCTCACATGTTCTAAACCAGTGCTGTCCAGCAAAAATAGAATGTGAGCCACATAGATGATTTTAAATTTTACAGTAGCCAAATTAAAAAATAAAAAAATTGCAAACAGGTTAAATGAATTTGTTATTTTGTTTAACCCAATATATCTAAATATATATCTAAATGATATCTAAAATACCATTTCAACATTTAATCAATAGAAAAATTATAGAAATATTTTACATTCTTATTTTGTACTAGGTCTTTAACGTCCACTTCTCAATTTGGATTAGTCACATTTCAGGTATTCAAAAATCAATGGGTGCTTAGCGGCTATCATATTGGACAGTGCAGCTCTAAGCCTTCCCTCATTGTGTGCACACACCTTATGCAGTTTAGAGAGAAGCTATCTGGAAAGATCATTAGGCTGTGAATAGGTAGACTTATGATCTAGTTTTAGCTCTGCTTTGAACATACTGTGACCTTGGTCTATGTACTTTACTTCCCTGACCTTCTAGTTTCAAAATTATAAAATCTATATTTTAAAAAATCAATATGAATATGACTGACTGACTGATAGCATCCTAATGTTTCTTTACCTGGTCAAGTTCCAAGTAGACTGAAGCTTCTTTTTTTGGGGCGGGGTGGGGTAGAGGGCCAAGGGAGGTTTCCTTTTAATCACAAAATGGCCAGGACAGTCAGCTACAGGTTGAAGGCAGAGTATAGGTCCTGGAGGAATAGGAAGTTTTTCTATCTTGAAGACCCCTTCATTTATAATAAAACCTACTTCCTGGGATATAAGATACCCTTAATGACATAATGTATATCTGCCCATGGTTCCAGACTTTATGGATACCCTGCACGATCTACATGCTAGTGGGTAGCTCTGGGAGGAGAAAAGAATATTCACAGCTCCTAAGTTCCACTTGTGTCAATGGGAGAAACTCTGCTGCTGCTCAAAATTCTCCTTCCCCTGGATCTTTCCATGAGAAGTATCAGTTTCACAGGTATGATCCTTGTTTCCCAATAGTGGGGAATCGAATATTGCAAAGGGGAGGGTACAGTCTTGCCTGGGGGAAAAAAAAAAATCCCAGAAACGTAATGCCTCTCAGGCTTCAAAAACCGCTCAGGATTTAGACTGCCTTTGGAATTCTGGGGCACTTGCCTAACAAAATGGGGAAGGCCCAAAGTTCTGAGCCTAACGACGATAGCTTAAAAGATCTTGGCAGTGAAGTTTGAAACTTTTGCACCATTAGTTCTTTCTTTGTACCCTCTCCTGGCAAATGACCCCAGAAATTCATGAGCCAGGAATTATAACCCTACTTATTATTGATACCTAATTACAACGTAGTACAAGGATAATGCATATCATTTAATTTTTGTCAAATTAATTTTTTCTGAGTTTTAAACACTAAATCTTGAGTGGGCTTATATGTATTTAGTCTTCATAAGCTCATATAACATGGTCTTCTACTCACAAGTTAAGAAAGCAAGATAGAACACTGTTCTCAAGTGATTCTTAATGAAGGATGTATACTTCTACAGTCCAAATAAATAATTAATATATAATGTAATCATTCTGAAAATCTTAACAGGATTGCTCCCAGCAGGACACTTTCATGCTCGGTCTTGTGTTTTAGCACACAATGAAAAGTTACACATCTTAGTATGCCTTTGGAACCCTAGATATAGTCAGAGTTTGGCAATAGTAGCCTTTTAGAAACAAATTTCATGATACCAATAACATCATTTAGTTAATATACATTAAGCTTTAAAAAAGGATGGAATAAATCTATTTTTAACAACTATTTTGATTACTTTTATTTAAACTTACCAGCAACTGAACACTATCTTTCCCCAAAAAATACAGAATCTTGTAAATGCTTGCAAAGATTAAGGGGTAAGTATAACCCCTCAACCTTTCTGTCCATTCCCAGGTCAAATAACCATAATTAGTAAAATTAAGGACTAATGTTAAATAGCATTGAAATAAAACCTACTTTCATTTCCACATATAAAACTTTTATTTTTTGACAAAGCAGCTTAAAAACAGCATTTTATACTGGATATTTAAATTAAAAATGTAATTGGCCAACTAAACTCAACTTCAAGGCAGAAATGTGATTTTTACTTCATTTATATCCTCCATAGTACTGAGCACTGGGAATATGTGCTATAGGTTAAGTCAAGTACATATAAACATCAAAGAAAGATACAGAAGAAACATTAGTATAAAATAATGGATACTTTGATAAGTTAAAATTATTTGGAGAAAATATGAAAGATTGACTGAAAATGTGTAATAGAAACTGACACAATTCCTAAGATAAATATACATTCCAGGTCTGGAAAAAAATTACAAAGGATATTTGAAAACCATATGATGTGCAACTTCAAGAGACTGCCAGTACTCATCTGGAACGAAACTTGTCTGGACTAAAAAGCAGTTACATATTCGTAATGCTATGGTAAATAAGACCAGATAAATGTTTTCCCCAAGATGATCTGAAAAACAAAATATAAGGTAATGTGACACAAAAGTCATACAAGTTCTGCTTGCAGAACTAAAATATGCTGCTCTGGTTGGCCCCTTGCTTAGGCTATGTTAAGGCACAGTAGTGAACTCTGCTCCCTCCACACTACTCTCAAAGTAGACCTGGACCAAGAGTTACACAAGGGCCAGAGCCTCAACTACTGAGTGATTACCACTCCTTTCATCTAAGCAATCTTTCTTACAACTTATTGTTTAAAGAGATTAAGATAAATACTGAAAAAGAGATTGGGTTAAGTAAGTAAGGCCTTAGGTGGATTAGGTTATTCTATATGTGTATCTAACAGAAAGAAACCAGCTAACATTATTAATTTAGGAAGCAAGTCTTTATATAGGTGCCAAACAGTTGCATATAAAATGTTCCTCCATACATTTTAAAATAACATTCACTCATGCTTACTATATGCCATGCACTGAGTTCATTCCTTTACATGCATTATCTCATTTAATCCTCAAAATAATGCTATGGGATAGATATGAGGAAACTGAGGCTCAGAATTTAAATTCCTTGTCCAGTTCAAAAAGGTTATAAATGGCCAAAAAGCATTCAAACTCAGGTCTGTCTGCTGTCTGCCCTGCTCTTAGTCACAGATGGACAGTCTATAGGCTGAATACAGAGAATTTTTTAAAATTTGAATTTGGTTGCTAACATTTAAAAAATCAGATTTTATGTTAAAATTTGTATTGCAGCATTTCAAAACATAAGATCTGTTAACACAGAGCTCAATGAGAAACAAATGACTGGTACTGAAATATAGAGTGCTTTGACTTATTTAGCTCTGCCTGTCTGGCCTGAGTATTTTGAGCCTGCAACCTGCCTCTGATCCACTGTGAGTCTCTACTATCATTCTGGGTTCCTGCCATTCTCTTTCCTTATTCACACGAAGCACATTTTAAATGTCTCTCGGACAAATGGTACATTCAACACAATGTACATGCCCTATCTGAACGTTCACCTACCAGAAACACTTCAAGAAACCTTCCTACAGGACTAAATATGCTGTCGGGAAACTGTTCTTTCCTGTCCCCCCCACCCTCCTTTACTCTGTGGACTGGGGCAGAAGAAACAATACTCAGAACTGGCCTTTGAAACAACTCGAATACCTAAAAGTTCAACTGTAAGTCTGTTGAAAGTATGGTAATTTACTGTCGTTACTATGCTTTACCCTGACGGGATCCAACTTCTAACAAGGGGTAGGTTAGGGGAAGAAAGCGAGAGAGCTCCGGTCCAGCAGCCTTTCCTGCCTCTCCTCCCCCGCAGTCCCCGGTCACAATCCTCCAATCCTCACTTTTCATTTAGCAAAAAGGTTTTCCCCTTTTTTGGTCTCAGGTTTCCAGAGGGGGTAACTAAGCATTCTTTTCATACCGCCTACACTGTCCTTGGCACATAAAGGACGTCCAGTCAATATTTACTGAATGAATAAGGAGTCCATCTTTATATTAAATACCACCACCACCACCCCGCGACAGGTAAAAATCCCACTTGCTGGGGTGATTCTTCTCCTCTCTGCATCACATTGCGACCAAAGTGAAGGAAGAGCCGGGCAAAAGAAACGGGGTGGAGTCAGACCTGGTCCCACTGAGGAATCAGCCCCTCCGTAGCTGCTAAGCCTTGCGTAACTCCTGGCCTTAGTGGCCCGGCTCTAAAATCGGGGATGGACACACCATACCTACTCACTTTACACAACTGCGGGGAGGAAGGCATAAAATAATGCAGAATACAGTGCCGTGCAAGCGGCGGGAATCGAGAAGCCCGTTTGGCGCGCACTGCGATTTCTTGGCAACCCCAACCCAGCAGATGGAACCCTTGGTCTGAGTCCGCGACTTCCCGCCACCTCCTCTTCCCTGGGCGTCCCCACCCCTCACTCACCTCCGCGGAGCCCGGTGCTCTTCTGGGAGCTGAAGTACAAGGCCGACTTTCTCTTTCGCAGCTTCATTTTCTCGTGAGAGCAACTCTGGAGACCGCGGAAAAAGAGCCTCCTGTCACCTGGTTCTCGCTCCATACTGCATCTACTCCGGCCTCCGCTGAGGATTCCGGCCACCACCTTCCACCGCAGAGGGAACCTAAAGTGGCGCGCACTGTTCTTCGGCTCACTAAGTTTGGCCTCTGCGAGCCGCCGTCTGGGGCAGACGCGGAGGGAGCCGGGAAAGGGCAACTTTTGCCAACTCCCTAAGGTGGCGGTCTCTTAGCGGAGTGTTTCACGTTTGGCCCCCACCACTAAGCTTTGCCAGGGGCTTGCCAGCTCTTTCTGTTAGGCATTTCCTTCTAGGATTGCCCCTGGTTTTGGTTTTGGGTCCGTGCGCCGGAGTTCTGGAAACAGCTGGAAGTATCTGGATCTCACCTTTGCGGGGGACAGGTGGAGGCGGGGGTCAGTGACTTGGTGTGAGAGCTGACCCGTTGGAGATGTCTGAATGGTAATGATAATAGTATAGGCATACCTCATTTCATTGCACTTCGCTTTATTGCGCTTTGCAGATATTGCGTTTTTTTATAAGTTGAAGGTTTCTGGCAACCCTGCATGGAGCAGATCTATCAGCGCCATTTTTCCAACAGCATTTGCTCACTGTGTTTCTGTCACGTTTTGGTAACTCGCAATATTTCAAATTTTTAGTTGTTATATTTGTTAATGGTGATTTGTGATCAGTGATCTTCGATGTTACTATTGTAATTGTTTTGGGGGCACCACGAACCGTGTCCGTCTAACACAGCCAGCCATTAAGTTAATGTGTGTGTTCTGACTGCTTCACCAACTAACTGGCCCTCCATCTCGCTAGTCTTGTTGGGTCTCCTCATTCACTGACGCACAACAAATATTGGAACGAGGCCAGTTGATAACCCTACAATGGCCTCTAAGTGTTCAAGTGAAAGGAAGAGTCGCACGTCTCTTACTTTAAATCAAAAGCTAGAAATGATTAAGCTTAGTGAGGAAGGCTTATCCAAAGCTGAGATAGGCCGAAAACTAGGCCTTTTGCGCCAAACAGTTAGCCAAGTTGTGAATGCCAAGGAAAAGTTCCTGAAGGAAATTGAAAGTGCTACACCACTGAATACACGTATGATAAGAAAGCGAAATAGCCTTATTGCTGATATGGAGAAAGTTTTAGTAGTCTGGATAGAAGATCAGACCAGCCATAACATTCCCTTAAGCCAAAGCCTAATCCAGAGCAAGGCCCTAACGCTCTTCAATTCTATGAAGGCTGAGAGAGGGGAAGAAGCTGCAGAAGAAAGGTTTGAAGCTAGCAGAGGTTGGTTTATGAGGTTTAAGGAAAGAAGTCGGCTCCGTAATATAAAAGCACCAGGTGAAACAGCAAGTGTTTTAACCGATGAGGAGTTGCTTCTTGTGAATGAGCAAAGAAAGTGGTTTCTCGAGATGGACTCTACTCCTGGTGAAGATGCTGTGAAAATTGTTGAAATGACAACAAAGGATTTAGAATATTACATAAGCTTAGTTGATAAAGCAGTGGCAGGGTTTGAGAGAATTGACTCCAATTTTGAAAGAAGTTCTACTGTGGGTAAAATGCTGTCAAACAGCATTGCGTGCTACAGAGAAATCGTTCGTGAAAGGAAAAGTCAATCGGTGCGGCAAACCTCGTTGTTGTCTCATTTTAAGAAATTGCTACAGACACCCCAGCCTTCAGCAACCACCACCCTGATCAGTCAGCAGCCATCAACATCGAGGCAAGACCCTCCACCAGCAAAAAAATTACGACTCACTGAAGGCTCAGATGATGGTTAGCATTTTTTAGCAATAAAGTATTTTTAATTAAGGTATGTACTTTTTTTTTTTTTTTAGAAAAAATGCTATTACACACTTCATAGAGTATACTGTAAACATTTATATGCACTGAGGAACCAAACAAGTCATGTGACTTGCTTTATTGTGATCTTTTCTTTATTGTGGTGGTTTAGAATGGAACTTTCAGTATCTCCGAGGTATGCCTGTAATGATAATTATAAATTTGTGTAACATTTCATTGTGTGATCTCACAATAACTGCTTGTTGAATGAGGTAGGCAGGGTAGGGATGATTTAACCTGTTGTACAAATGTGGAAAATGAGATTCAAAAAGGTTAAATGACTTGCTCAGGATCACTTAGCCAGCTAGTGACAGAAGGGTAACCTTCCCATTTTGTTATGGTTTATTGGTTTTCCAAGGAGCTGACTTGCAAATGTCTCTCTTTTTTTTTTTTCTTTTTAAGCACTTAACAGACAGAGATCTAAAGCATGATTGATGGCATTGTCATTTATCTATAGAGTCCAGGAGAAAAGGGTTTTATGTCCCAAATAGGCTTAAATTATATTTTTGCAAGATTTAGGGCAAGCTAGTTTCTAGTATCAGTTCTGCCACTAATGATTTTTGTGACCCTCAGGGTTGGTCCAGGAGGCTGTGAAATATTGTTATAATAATGAAAACATGTAAATCGCTCTTCTTTTCCTCATTCATAAACAACTACTTAGTTTCTCCAGAGACAAAGATGTTGTCAAGGAGTATAACTTTCCAAGAAGTACTAGAATCTTAACTCCTCTATTGTTAGAAGTAAAAGCAGCCAAATCTGTTATACTTTTGTCAAAAATGGATGGCAAATGATTTATATATGATGCCTACTCTTGTCTCTCCTAAAATATCAAAGGAAACTCATAAAATCTTTTATCCTGTTTTTAAAAAATTATTTTTACTCATACATATTGCCAAAAAATATAAAGTAGTGAAGAAGGGCTAATAATGAAAAGTAACATTTCTCTTTCTCCTACTTCTAGATTGGATTGGCAGTCACTTTCAGCTCTTTGGTGGACTGTTTATTTTAGTAGTTGGCTTTATTGGTATGCCTCCTCCCTACCCGACTTTTACCATTTTTTAAATTATTCACTTAAAACCATTGAGAACACTCTGTAGTAGGATTTAGCTTTGTCTTACACCATCTCCTAACCCTCATTTCTCATACTTCTTAAATAAATATATTCCTATTTTAGTTAAATCAATAAGTGATATTTACAAAAATACTGTTCATTACAGAGCAAAGTAGTGACATGAAATCTTTAAAAAGGATCTTGTGCTAACTTATTGCTGTGCTTTCCATTTCCTTTGTACACAGATCTGAAGAAAATTCCTGAAGTGTAATTTTTCAAAACCACCTTTGCACCGTGCGGCATTTGTTGAAAAAATGTTTGGGAGACTGACTCTTCCACAACTGCTTTTTGCTAGCTTCCTTGGAATTGCTGGAGGAATATATATTTATCAACCAATATTTGAACAGTATTCCAGAGATCAGAAGGAATTAAAAGAAAAGTTGAAATTGGCACAGGAATCAAAAGAGAAGAAAAGTTAATACTGCATGGAGTTGAACTGTAAAGTAATTGCTTAAAGTTCCATTGAAGTTCTACATTGACTACAAATAGTGTAGTAAAAACTTCTCAAATATATTTTAAACATAAATAAATGATAGATGATGATTTTTAAAACTAGCACTGTCAATCTTAATGTTTACTGTACTTTTATTTTCCATTTTTCGTGTTTTCACCAGGATAGATTAGTAATTTTCTTTTAAGCAAAATGAATGTCTTAAGGAATATTTTGTTTCCTAGTCAAGATTTACGTTTTTAGGAATGAGGCATATACAGTACCATGGAATGACAGTCTAGACTGGGAATGGTGTTTATAATGGTGTTTGTAGATGAAGTGAACCAAGTTAACCACCTCAGACAGAATGCCCCTCAGTTAGCTTACAGTTCGCCTGGTTTAATATACTTCAGCACTCTTTTAACCCCAGCCCTTTCTCATCCTAGGCAGAATAGAGGAGTAATTTGAGAATTGGGGTGGCTCAGATCAAATGAGGTTTTAGAGAGGGTGTATGGTGTTATATAAGGTGGCAAATATGACACAGATCTGTTTAACTCACTAAGTAAATTTGCATTAATGATGGTAGTTAGAGGAGTTAATTTGTTATGAAGCTATTATTCATATAGTTAAAGGGTTTTTTTTTTAAATTGCTAAGAACCGATGCTACTTTTTAACCTAATGATCTTAAACTTGTATTTTCAGTGAGAGCTACAAATGTAATCCTATATGTACAAAGTGCTTTTTTTAAACTAAACTCATTTTTAAAAAATAAACTCATTTTTATTATTGCTTTCTTTTTTTTTGAAAAGTAAATTTATTATAACTTAATCTAAGCTATCTTATGTTGATTGGACAGCATGAGTAACTAAAAAAAGTAAAGAAAGAAAGAAAGAAAGTAGTATGTGTTCATTAAAAAATTTCAATACAGAAATGAAAGTGAAAATTATCCATGTATACATTGATTTACTCAACATACTTCTCAGTTTAGTGAGCTCTGAAGATTTTTTTCCTTCTATCTACACAAAATATAAAAATTTTAACGTACTGAGTATCAGCTATGTGTTAGGCTTGGTTTGGCTTGGTTTCTCTTGGCTACAGGTAGACTGGAGTTCTGTTCTTTGTGTCTTCTAATTGTGAGATCCAGGCTCAATGAGCAGCCTCTGTCAGGGTATGACAAAATATAGGATTGAGAGAAATGGATGAAACATGGAGTCATAAATTTCTGCTCAATTGTGTTAAATGTCATGTCTTCTCACATTCTGGTGGTTTAGAGTATGTAACGTGGTCAAGCCCAAAGTCAAGGGCAGGAACATAGACTCTTCCCACAGGACACACAGTCAAGCCACATGACAATGGGCAGGAATACACAATCCTATTATATCCAAGGAATGATAATCCTCTAACATCAAGTGAAATTGAATTGCTTTTGATCCTTCTGTTAAGAAGGATACTTTGTCAGTATAGTAGTTACATACCAAATGCCAGAGGATAAATGTTTTTCCAGTATAGATAGTGCAGTCATTCAAATCGAAGCCACGATGAGATACCATTTCACATACAGTAGGATGACTGCAATAAAAATACAGGAAATAATTGTTGGCAAAG